TTGGTACAAACCTTGTTCTATATCTCATTGATACACTTCCATTAATATAATCAACACTGTCTTGACAGAGTTTGTTCCACTGCTGGTATCTAGACTTGAATTTTTTAGTAGTTTGTTTCCAAATACCAGCTTAAATTCAGTGCAGAAGTTCCAAAGTTTGGTTGGTTTCTTTAGTGTAACTTGTATGGATGCCTCTAAGGAATATTTTTACTAGTAGTACAGTACTTAGGAGATGTTTTATCAGCAAATTTGTTGACTTTGATCCCAAAGTCCCAACCTTAAACTTATTGTGAGCTTAGTCATCCTGCTTCTCCCTCTGTGGTTGCTGCCCTTCCTCAATGCAAGAAATCTAAAATGAAATGGCAGCTTCCTCCCTGGCCAGGAGAGGTGTGCTGGCCCCCGAGGCAGTGGCATCAGCTTTGCAAACAGAGAATGAACTTCACTCATCACCTGCCATTTGATATCCTTATCAAAGCAAAGGCTGCTGGAGGGGACCATTTTATTAAGACTGGAAATTCTTTGGGGAGCACAGTCACATGTGCCCTGACATATGGAAATGTATGTAATTTCATCTGATGAGACAGCCAACACTCAGATGGAACAGCAGAGCTCTGTCTGGAACAGGTAACAGCCAATGAATAGTTCATGTGTGACTTCTCCCTGTGCTTGATGATTTCAAAGGCCAGAAGAGATCATTGCATGTTATTAAGGCTAAAAACACAGTCTGTTCCCTGCTTGTTGACCAGAATATGTATATTCAAGTGGAACTGAAGCTCTCCCTGCTCTGAACAACACCTTATTCTGCTTATGATGCTAATTGATGGGTCACAGAATGGTGTATTTAGTTAATTAAGACATGGAAATACATCAGATGGAGAAAAAGCTGGAATTCCACTCCACAAAAAATATCTTAATATTAAAGTACAACTGAGTATGCCTGATGGATTTCTACCACTCCAGACTCATAGATCTTGGAATAAAATACAGAAGTGCAGAAAAAGAGAAGTTCAGTGTGTAGAGAAGACATCAGCTTTTACAGGTCACTTCTTAAAAGCAGGAATGAATGCAGACAGACTCCACTTGCAAAGTAAGGTGCAGAAAGCAGATGGGCACTGGGCTGTCAGTGATGAAACCGCCTCCACTTTTCCAGAAAACACCAGCTTATTGTACACCATGGTGAGAAAGAAGCTCAAGCACAAGCAGGACAGTAAATCCATAAAACATTTGCAAAGTCTACTTCAGACTAATGCATTCAAAATATCCAAATGCAACTTCATCCATAGTCTCAAATTCTGTTTTCTAATCTGGTTTATTAATGACAGAGGCAGAAATTGCCACCATATGTTTATAAAGTAACCAGTGCTCCCAGGAATCCAGACTCATTTGGGACACTGGATATAACTTAAGAGTTTAAAAAAGGAGACAGAATGCACCAAAACAAGTGTTTTCCAACATGATCCATAGACCTGACCAAATTAAATCCTGCCTATGTGTATTTTAATTATAGATATTACACATCCCAACACAACAGCAGTTGCAGTTATGGAACCAACCACTGAATTTGGTCCATTATAGCATTTGTTTAATGCACTGAATTCTTTGACCTGTACTATTTCCCACACGTCCACCAAAGTTCCAAACATAAACCCCTACTGTGATTCCCTGTCACGAGCTGATTTTGGTCAACCATTTGAAACCCCTTTTGAGTTCAGGAGTGTCCACCAAGAGGTGGTGATTTGCTCCAAGGAGGGAAGGATCTCGAGTACAGACAGGCACAAGGCAGTAGAAATATGTGCAAGACCAACTTAAATAAACTACTTAAACACAAGATGCTAATTTAGCAGTTTCAAGGGCCATATTTTTACAGCCAACCCAAGACATAAAAAGAAACTAAATTTCACTGGAATAACTTAACCTCACTGTTGCTTTGAGCGTTGCATTTATTCAAACACAGCCCATCCAGCTCTCAATTAGCTGCTTTCTCACTCCAACAGCAGCAGATCTGCAGTGCATAGAAATGTAATTATTCACACAGCACTCTGTCATTGCCACCACTGTCTGTACTTCTAAAGCGCCTTGATTACGCTGCTGATGAGCACCATGGAAATGCCTATAAATAAAATAATCATCTCCCCTCATTAAGTTCCAGATCATGGACTGAGGAAGGATGATTTTCCTTTGTACGTTCCTTTTGTAAATTCTATCATTTCACAACAGAGGGAGCAACGTGCCTCTGATGACACTCAAAGAGACAGACTGTCAGGACTCTTGTCAGTATTTCAGCTTTGAGCAGCTTGCGTTTTTGCATGAATATTTTCTACTGAAAATAAAGAACTGTTTGTCAGAATTATGCATTCAGTAATCCCTTTCTAATGTCAGAATCAGACATGCAAAAAACCCTAATGTCATGTCAGGGGGTCAGATTTTATGGAGCAGTATGTCATGGAAATCCTAACAGCAAAAGCCTCTGGTTTTAACTTCAACACTAAGAACACACATAGGTGGAAAATTTCAAATAAGCTTAGATATAATAAACAAACAAACAAACCCTGAAGGAGACCTTCCAATAAAAACAAAGCCTTGGTGAAACGGGTTTGCTTTTCAGGAAGCTTCGACGGTAACTGATGCCGCAAACAAATATCAAACATCCCCTTATTGTCAAATCACAAAACCTTTTTTCAATAACTGCAGTACTGGGTGTACATTTGCATACAGTGAAACTCCCAACAGTGCCTCCAACACGCAGTGAAATATCACATTTCATAAAATGGTGAATTATAAAGCCAGTAAAACAAGTTAAATGTGATACCTGTACTCAAGACTGTACTGAAATCACATTTCTGTAACAAAAACTGATGAAGTTGTCGGGTTGCCCCAGTCAGACCAGTGCTGAATCAAGGCCCCATTCACTGTACAGCTGTCAGAGTCTGACAGGAGGAAAACCAGGTTGCCTTTAAGTATTTGATTCCAGAAGAGTCATGCATGGTATGGTGCCTGCTATGGGGAACAATTTGCAGTAAGAATTGCTAAGTTACAGAGATCTTTGTGTCCCTTGCTCAGTTGTAGCCCTGTCCAAAGCAGTACCTCCCAAAAGAGGCTGCAGCACTAACCCCCTGCTAACCCACAGCAGCACTACTCCAGGTAATCTGTAACTTGAGAGAAAGCAGCATCTCCCAAATCCCCACTTGGGAGTTAACACGATTTCACAGGCTGGTCACCGGGCCACAAGCTCGGGTCAGGTTATGGGCTGATCTCTTCCTGCTCTCTGGCCAGAGGTGAGGGAGAATCACCACTTACTCCTGTAACTAAAAGGGGGAGAAGAGAACACCTTGATGGAAGCTTATGGAACATCCCTATTTCCGCACACCATCCGAAGTAACATCTCGCCTCCCAAATGCCAGCGATTCTCAAAGAACTGAGGCCATTCACAGGTTCAGAGGAAGATCCTCGTTCACAACTGTGAGAGCAAAGGTGCTCTCTGTGTCAGCATGAGCAGGGAGCTGCTCTCAGATCAGATCTATCTATTAAGCCCTTTGTAAATCTACTGCCATCCAACAGGCATGACCCTGTGCCCATGTATGATTTCCTCAGTGAGGACAGGTCATTTGATTCTCTCCTTCCTCCCAGACTCCCCAGCCTCTTCCAAGGTTTCCAGTACGTCACTCCCTGCATCACCGCTTATTTACAGCATGCTGCTGTATCTATGGGTAGTGTAGCTGAAGAGTCACCTATTCCTGTTAAAATTATACATCTTAGGAAGGTAAAGTGCTGGGTGGAGACCCGTGGAAAGGTAGCCTTTGACAGGCAGGTGAGATTTTTGTATATCTGAAGCTAGAACCAGCCACAAACTAACATGCAGGATACAGAGGCTGGGATAAACCAAGAATCATAGAATCACAAAACAGGTTGGGTTGTTCCAACCCCCCTGCCAAGGGCAGGGACACCAAAACATCAGACAGAATAGAGGGACATGCTACTTCCAGCTCCCAGGCACTATACCTGGACTGTGCAGGGCAGTTTATGAACCTGTGTCTGGGGTTGTAAGGGTGAATATTTTCATATGTAAAGCCTGTTCATTGGACAGAGTTCATTGGACAGAGTCAGTATTTGAATAATTTTTTCCAAAGACAGCAAAGAGTTAATTTAAAGCAATAGCATCAATCCCTAGAATAGCCAGAGTCCAAACCCACACAAGAGGTGTGCTGCCTCACTCCAGAATCTGCAGCAAGAAAAACAGTGACAAAAATAAGATCATTCCTCAATTACAAAAGACAGAACTGTTAATTCTGTCAAGCTCAGAATTGTCCTTGAAGAATCTAGCTCTTCCCAGTTCTAAAAATTATCCCCCACATTCCTTTGAGGGTTTTCATAGATACAGCAATGTGAAATCGCTCGTTGCTGTGTAGCTGCTAACAAGAGACAGATGTTTCCTTCAGCTCCAGGAACATGTAGACATGAAGCGCATTATGATGACCCACTAAATACTTCTGACTCCTTCTGCATGTCATCTCTTCATGCATTTAGTCAAGAGAATGCAACACAGTTCCATGCTTTTCCTGCTAACTACAAAGCTGACCAGAAGAGCATGCTTGGAGCAATTGCTTGATCTTAGCGAGCCTTCATCAGAGGGCAAGGAAAGTCAAGCAACACATTTTCACTGAGCGAAGCCAAAGCTTGAGAGTTCTTGCAGTTACTCCAGAGCCAAATGAGCTGGTGGCTGTGAGCCACGTTATTTATTTAGCTGGTCCAGAAGACACGCACCGCACGCCAGCGTGCGGGACGAGCATCTGTTCCACCCAGACCTTTGGCTCCATTCTTTGCTCGATATTAATACCAGGGAAAATTTAGTAACTTAACCACTGGCATGAGAAGTCATACTTCTAAGAGAACAGATGGCAGTGATCATCTTGGCTTAATTTTAGGCTTCAGAAATTGTTCTGAGTCAGCAAAGCCTCAAGGTAAGAGAAAGAAAAAGGCGCAACATCTGTAAAATCTCCTACCTGTTTCCCATCCAAGGTATACAGCTTTTTGACCACTCCTGTCTCCAGTTTTATAGCTTCGGTGATGTCAGTGAGGACTTGCTCAAACGAATGGGCAGTCTTCTTGTTCAAGAGCACACGCACTGCCTTCCTGGGCTTCACCCCGCTGCGGATGATGGTCACCAGCTTAGGACGCACGAAATCTTTGTTCTCCTTCGCCTGGGCGCTGTTGCTGCTGGCCAGAGACTGAGGTGCTTTCTGGTTGGCAGATGTCTTCACGTTGACAGACCAGTTGGGGTTGACATTCTTGGTGTATTCCACCTTCTTGAAGAAGTTGTCAGATGAGCAGACGTAACTCTCCCCTTTTGAAAGAAATGGAAATTCTGCGGTTACTACAAAAAGGCTGCTGGGAAGCAGACACTACACTTTCCCCCGATTAATCACGATAATTAATCATCGATAATTGTTTTCATCAGCACTTCCATGACAGTTTGTTATTAAAACATTTTGCCCTATTTTAATTTTATATTTATGGTTATTTAAAATATGACTAGTATTTCCACAAGCTAAGCTACTCAGCCACAACTTGCATCAGCAAATACTTATAAGCACTCAGTCACATGAACCAAGGGTTAAAATGGGTTGAATTACAAAGGTAGTTAGGTACTGGAAGATGCAACTAAGATGCCTAAGAACTTCAAAACACCAAATTCATTTGACCACCTCCACTATTTTGTAACTTTGCCAGATTCCTCTCCATCTTTACAGACCAAACTACTACTTCAGTGTGTCATTCTCTGCCAGGAGGATATCAACATTCATCCACAAAGTACCTTTGCATCATGCCTGAAAAATAACAAAAATCTTGTACTGAATTGTCTCTACTAAAAGTAGCACTGATAAATCTAGCAGGCATAACAAATATACTTTGTTAAATCATCAGTGGTTTATTAGAGAACAGACCCAGTGGCAGCTGAGATTAAGCACTACACCAAATGCCACTGCTTGCTTTTATATGGTTGGTACCAACCAAAAATATATTAAATCCAAATTTAGACATGGTAGAGAAGGGTTACTTGGTCTTGTTAGTAATTCACAAAAAGCCCTTCCCTATCCCACCCAAAAGTAGTTTGAAGCTTTGTCTGTAATTTACAGGATCCTATCCATCTAAGGTTTTAAAAGCACCTTAAAGGATTTGTAGGATCTTCTTTTGGGTCTGCAAATCTGATGGATGGTGGAAGAGTTATTACTAGAATGAGACTGTAAACCAGTATCCCTAAGGGAATGTAGCTGTCTGGTCTGAAATGACTCAGGCTGCTGAGCACTTGAAAACACACTGAAAAAAAGTCAGTCACTGCTAGAGGAAAAACCTTTTGTCTCGCCATTAGATAAAATTTTAATACGAACTGAGGGCATAACCTGTAGGATTTTAGAGTTTCTTCTGGTTTTTTCTTGGGCTGATCTAATAGAATAAAGTTCCTCGTGCATTACAATAGATTTGAAATCAAAATATAAATTTAACTATGCTGAATAAGAAAAATTCCTTCTTCACATGATCAGGCTGGCAGCACCTCCTTATCTGTCCCTGCAAAATCCAGGACCTGGACATCTTTGAAAAGCCCACCTGACAGCCAAGTCTGGCTTCCCATTCCAGGATCTCTAGGGCAGGATTTGACATCCAAGTGGCAAAGGTATAAATATGGATTTCCAAACAGTCCACTGATTTCCAGGCAGCCCAGGCACATAATGTACCCAGCACAATGTCGACACAGTTCTGCTGACTAAACTGCATTTTTGATGGAGGAACCTAGAGGGTCCCTCCACAGAACACATGGTGAGACCACTAACAGGCAATAAACAATAAACAGAAGACTTTACAGGCTTATAACAATGGTCTATGTAGTATTTATACCCCTATTACTGGTAAGGGTTTGATGTCACAAGCAGCCACAGAAAAAATGCAGGATGCTCACTTATTTTAACCCTGACTTTGTACCAAGTTTGCCACAAAACAATGCACACTTGTGGTGCTTGCATCTCTAACTGCAGCTCTTCTCCATTAGTAGCATAAAAAATTACCAAAATCTTTTATCAACAGGAAGCAGATATTCTGTTTTCCCTTCTAAAGATGAAATAAAAATACAGAAGGGAGAAGAGAGCTGACCAGGTTTGTGATGAACACTGTCAGATGGGCACTCTGTTGACTAGTTTACCCAAACAAACTCAATAATCCCCTCTGAAGGTTCTGTTGGCTTGACCAAATAGTAAAGATTGGTATTTGCTGTCAGAAAAAACCCTCATTAAACTGACCATTTAGTAGTACCAGTAGCTGACATTCCTTAATTCCTTATATTTTGTGAATCTGACTCAATAGAAACTTAAATATACACCACGGAGTACCATACATTATAAAGAATTCCCACTGGAGGTATCATTTTCCAGAAGCATTGAGTACTTCAGATCTTTCTGATTAATAAGTGATAAATTGTGGTTTATTCATCTGCTTCAGCCGAGTAACACCTGGTGTGGAGCAGGTCAGGCTTGTCCCCACTTTCACAGGCGAGCGTGAAGGGCAGAGCGGGGAGTTTGGAATGCTCACAGGGAATTATCCCTGTCCTGAGAACCTGAGCCCTCCCAATCCCGTAATCCCTGGGTGGCAGAGCCTTCCTAAGTGTGTTCAGAACAGAACTGTGCATTATCCTTTGAGAAAAAGGATTTCTCTCTGTTTGAACGCTACACTAGGAGTAAGTGATTTGAACACTGCTGTCACCCCTGCCCCAGGCTTCCCTGTGGAAGCTCCTGACCTCACCTGCACCTCTGCCTCCCTCCCTGAAAAACAGAAGTAGCAATCCCAGCCACTGAAGTGTGGCAAGGCTTGACTTTCACCCATAATTGTCTGATACTTTTGGATAGAAGACGCCACAATGAAAAAAAGTATATATTTGCGCTGTGTTCTACAGGAAGTGGTGCAGTGTATTTTCCACTGATAAGTTCCACATTTTAAAGCAAGCAGAAGAGATTCTTGGTCTGTTTAGTCCAGTAGTATTACTCTTATTTCCAGCTGAACCCTTTTAAGTACCTTACTGCACACCACAGCTGTGCATTTACGCCACTGGACACCAAAGGCAATAGTGGCATGAAGGCAATACTCTGGTAGGCTTTTTTCCCTCAAATGTGCTGTTAGGTAGTTGCACAGATCTATACACTGGCCTTTCAAGTTGCACTCACAGTCACAAGCAGAAAATAGAATCTGCCCTTTCTCACTTTGTTTCATTTAACTCAAACCCTGGCAAGTATTTTATTGGATTCTAAAACTGGAAAGAAATTTGCTTGGAGTGATAACTCAGGATAGCAGGTTCAGAGTAGCAGCTCTCCTCATTTTTGCAGTTATGGCAGTACAGCTCTAGGGAAAAGCAGCTTTTCTTTCCTTCTTCCTTGACCCAAAGATGTAACCTGAAGCTTTAACTTAATTTAAAGCTCAGTTCAACTGATGTCTTCCCAAACTCAGTTTATGACCCTCAAATAGTAGCAAAATTATCACTCAGGTTCCTCAGTGAGGCACATCCATTTGCCAGCCAGGAACATGTGCTATCCCACTTTCCACAGCGGGGTTTTACCCAAACCTTACTGTAGTGGTAGAAGGATTGAGCAAGTGTGGGCTGGAGACCTGTGAACTTTCCAGCTTTGAACAAGCATCCTGTGGCCAGGAGATCACAAAAAAAGAGATATCCTACAGTGAATATTACTACCTTAGAGGAGGGAGTGGTTTCCTGGTTTCTCTGCCACATCTGTCTATGCTAAGCCGATAATGAGAGGTCAAGGTGTACAACTGTGCCAGTCAGAGTCTGTAAGTGATAGACACAGCGTGGCTGCAGAAGATGTGCACAGCATAACAGAAGGATGGGAAGTGAACGTGAGATTTTGTGAAATGCAAAAGAACCTCCTCCGAGAAGAATATTTAAGCACAAGAATCTGTGTACAAATATTTGAAGGAACGCATCTCGAGCCAGCAAGCAGCTGTGCACACGTGCAGCAATCCAGCTGTAAACCGTGAGAAGGTAAGATGAACAGCCACGTCAGAACTTCCAAACAAAACCCCAAATGGGAGCCCCAAAGAGACACAGACATGAATGAGGGTGGGAAGCATCATCCTGATAAGGTTCAGTCTGCTGCTGAACGCCAGCTATGGTGCCAAGGACAGCATTTGTTTAGTGCAGGGCCAGGTCACTGCACGATGCCCCTTCTGCACTGGGGAGTCCAAGCCCTGCAGGATGATGTGCACTTGCCATCATGCCACTGTGCTCCAGAGGTGTCCCAATTCCTATCATGCCACCAAACCAGCCAGGCCATTTATTTACTCCTTCTGTCCTGCCCTCAGCAACAGATGGACTGCCTGCAGACCTTTGACCTGAAGTCACGATCATCGTTTTTGCCATTTGAAGGCACGGCTTGTATCACACCAAATTACTCTGGCTACAAGTGCGTGACACATTCCTGTGCTACCAACTTGACAGAAGCACAAGGCGATTATTCAGCTCCTAAAGAAGGGATGATCTCAGCAAAGATAAGGTTTGCCTTAGAGAAGGTTCCTTAGAAAAAACCTAAGCTCTGGAGTAGTGCTAATCCTTCAACCCTCTTACAGCAGCTCCTTGTGACAATACTAAAACCGACAGGCTGTGCTTTCAGAAAAAGTTATCCTTCCTCAGCACACACCAGCAAGTTGCCAAGGATAATGAAATGCAGTCAGAAGTCTTATGAGAAAAATCAGGAAAGCTGAAGTGAGGCCATTTTGAAAGTGTAACTGTTAACACTTATTCCAAAACCAGTCTCTCTGGGCTGCAGTCAATTATTTTGGCTGTTAGCTCTGCTGTTGCAAAGTTGAGATTCTGCCACTGTGCTCAGTTTTAATGTTTCATGGAATTTACTACCATTGCAGTAGGAATTAAGTGGACTTAACACCTTGCAGAGTTCATTCCACGTGGTGCTGAGGCAGGCCTTTGGTTTCAAACACACGAACTTCCCGCTGGCTCTATGCATGAAAAGGACCTGCTCCACCATGGCAAAATGAACTCTGGAAGAGCTTCCTTCCTTTGGCTCTTCCCCAGGGAGGTCTGCCATGAAGAGAAACACCTCCTTGTTCTGTTAAAGAACTGAAAGAAATGTGTGATCAGAAATCGCCTTCAAAACCACACGATGCCTGCGGAGACTTTTGGGGCCACGCCGGTCCCACAGCCAGGATGAGCAAGCAAATCAAACAGAGCTTCAAGGATAGATTTGGTTATGTAGGATGCAATTAGCTGAGCTATTAGGACAGCAGCCACAGAAAACAATTCCACAGGTTACCGAGGTTTCAGTACTGGAC